ATGAAACCATGAACATGGAGGTTTAACATGAAAATTACCCTCTGGTAAATTAACAGTTCGACCCTGGCAGAAAACGGGGTTGGAAGACTAGTTTCCATGAACAATTGGTGATTTTCAGGGTCTATGTTTATTTACCAGAGGGTAACTGTTGTGTTAATGAAACCATGAAAATTGATACTTATCCTTAAGGAAATGGAGGTTTTACCATCACCAAAAGGGTTTTTTTCTAGGATGTTTAAAACCAACCATTTTTGCGTATATAAAACCATAGGGAAAAACACAAGTGTGTTTGAATGTATATTATTAATCATTGAGAATGGTAAGTATAATGATATACAAAATAATGATATATCAGGATATATAATGATATATAATGATATATTATGATGTATTATGATATATTATGATATTAAGATATAATATGATATAATATCATATACTATGATATACTATGATATAATATGACATAATATGATATATTATATAATGATAAATGACCCTGCTTGGTAAGTCCCCAAATTATTACATACAATATACCTACAACTGGCTCAACTCAGTATGGTTAGTGTCCGGGGCTTTAATGAAACCCTTTGGTTTAACAACACACTATTTATCATGATATGTTTTAGGGGTATGTGATTGGATATTTTGAGGTTGCATTTTATGCAAATATTATATCATGGTGTAGATATATATATATAATCATGTGTATATACAAATATACAATGTATATATATATATACATATTATATAGTTACATATACGTATATATATATATATATACACGCACATTTTGTATGTGTACATATTCAACGACATGATATGATATCATTAGGGTGTGTCTGAAAATTGAGTACAGTATACCGTACAATTCCCAAAAACATGCCAATGTTGTTGGCATCATTTTGTGGGAGGTCGAGATGATTTGTCCGGCAAAACATATGATGTCAGTCCGATCTGCAAGTCCTATACAAGATTCTAGAGCAACTTGGCTAGGATTCCTATATTGGTCCAGGCTGCACAAAAAGTCAGCCGTTCAAGTCTGCAGATCATCAATGGCCATTTCAGAAACCGATTGATTGGAGGTACCTACCATATAATTTTTGTTGGCCTATTTGTCAGGTCTAAATTTCAGGGGATATCCCCACAATTCATAAGGCCAACAATATGGCACTAACGTTCCTCCATTTTAGGATCCTGAAATTCCCATTGAAATGAACATGGGATGAACAATTGTGTTTGATAACATAGCTGTGGCAGCTATGACCCCTGGAAATAGATGGCTTACCTATTAAAACATGTGATTTTCTATAGTTTTTGGTATGTTTACCAAAGGGTCACAGAAATTCCAATTGATATAACCGGGCTTATACCAGTTATATCCTACCCTACCATCCTACCCATTGATAGATGGTTTACATATTAAAAAAAAACATCTGAACAACATCCCCTGTTGAGATCATGTTCCATTGAGCATCCGATTGAGGCCTCGCTGGATGATCGAAACGACTTGTAACGATCCATGAAGGAAGAGCATCTAACTGATTGGAACATCCCAGCAGAATTGAAAATCATCATGTTATTGGGATATGATGATATAATCCAAATGGTATATATATATATATATTTAATCCAGGTGATAAAATATGATGTCATTGAAAAGCATCGGGATATAATCACCATGTTGGAAATTGGATATGATATGATATAATCCTAATTAAACACTTTGATTTAATATCCAATATGGTGATCCATTATGATTAATATACATGGTGATTTAATCAGCATCAATATGGTAACCACCAAGATGCTATATATCCAATATGATATAATACCAACATGTTATTGTATATCCCACCATGTTATTGGGATCCCGACTATGGCATATAATCACCAATAACCCACACATTTTTTTAACCCCGTATAGAAACCAACCAGTGGTATTCTACATGTCTCACCTTAATTGTCTGATAATAGGGTACGTATGGACAAATCCCATGTTGAATCATCATTGTCCACACTGAAAAGGCTTTTTGGTCGTATACCATGGGTATGCTCCATTTACAGACACACCCCCTAAGACTCTAGGGTATTAACCCCATCTCTAATTTCATATGAAAACAAAAAAACATAAACCATCATAAAACCACATTTTTTTGGATTGTGATTTTTTTTTTCAGGACCCACATAGAGGAAAAAACAAAATCACCAAATTCATCACTTGTGTTGGTTAAACCCAGTTGGAGGTCTCCAGGTACCCCAGACCATTGGTTTTCCCGTTGATAATCAAGAAGTTTGAACGATTTTAGGGTACCATTTTAGGAACCTCCATGTATAAGCCATATATTACTGGGGTACCCCGAAGTACAAATATGTGTACAGACTACAAACATCGCTTTACAGGGCATGTTTACATACATCAATTGTTGGTTTAACCGTTTAACCTATATCAGGGCTTGGTATATGTACATTTTTCACATCAACCAACTATTGGAGATACAATCTTCAACAGGTACTTCAAAGTGAAGTTTAAAAAATCCCCTAACCAGAATATTTACCAAGCCCTGTATACATGGTGAATCTTAGATTCCCACCAGAAAAACAAATTTTAAGCCGGTTAGTACAATTCAAAAAAGAAAACATACAACTGATAGCAAAAGATTAAAGTATCTAACAAAGGTTGACCCTGCATATGCAAGTTTCCTTCCATTGTAAACCAACCAGCTATTGGGTGACCCCCACTTTTGGAACCCCCCCATGTGAGCCATCAACTATGATAATAGCTGGTGAATGGTTATATATATTATAAATGTATATATATGTATATATATATAATGATAATATATGGTTATTATAACTTTTACTATATTTCTGGGTGAATACCTTTCCATCGATCATAGTTTAGGGAACTCCCATCTGTTCCATCCAGGCCCTAGTCCTGGCAACAAAGGCACCCAAGAGCTGGCATCCAAAGTGGCCAAGACCTGCCAGGCATAGGGAAAATCTCCGTTACAAAATGGAGCTTTCAAGTTGGGAAAATCATACCAGTCGTGGGGCCCCGTGACCACGAAATAGCTAAGTGGGTGCAAATAACTCCAATTTCACTATGGTTTATGATACGCAAGTAACTAGAGTATTCATGGGGTTTTAGCACCAGTTTATAACTGGGGAGGTCCCTATTGTATATAGTTATTTGCGTATCATAAACCATAGAAAAATTGGAGTTATCTAGGCACCAACTTAGTGATTTCGTGGCCACGGGGGCCCCACGACTGGTAGGAACACATGGGAAAATCTGATCAATGGAGGGTTATAGCTGGAAGAATCACGGATGTTCATGGAATATCATGGGATTTAAGCATCCTTTATGATGTTTCATTGGGATTTTCACCAGCATATGGAGATATGAATAATTGATATTGATACAGATGGGCGGTGCGCGTTCTTTGTCAAAAATTTGGATTTAGCCATTGAACTTTTGCTTTCAATTACTGTTGATGGGAATGCAGTGGGATTTGATGGGGTATAAGAGTTTATCCCATCATATAAGAATTTCAACAATCAACATATGAAAGTTTTCACCATCTACAAGCTGGTTCTCCAGTTTATTAGCAATGTTGATTTAGTTCACTAATAAAACTGTTGGCTTTGTGGTAGGTGTGTCAAACTAGTGAAACGAGGTTTATGAACCAAAAAACATCCCGGTTTGTACTCTGATACATACCAGTAGTAGAATCGTCTTCGTGACACCTAAGTTTTCACTTTCCACTTGGAAATGTGATGATCCCTTCCAAAAGTTTAACTTTGAGCAGGATATATATATATATATGGCAAGTCCATCTAGTTCCAGCAATGTATGTGGCTATAATCCACACAATCCAAAGTGAATTTGGGGGGTTGGTGATTTGGGTATTTCATTGTATTCCGAAACCCAACTCAATGGCCATTTCAGGAACCGATTGATTGGAGGTACCTACCATAATATACAAGTCCTATTTTTCAGACCTAAATTCAAGGAATATCACCAGAAAATAAAAGAACATGTGGGCAACAGAAAACATGTTCAAAAAACTCACTGAACAAGAACTCGACGCTATGATTATCCGACATGATTCTGTTCGATGCGCTGAGGCAACCAATTTTATATTCAACAGGAACAAACACATCATAACAAAGATCTCCATAACTTTTCTTCATGTCCAACAATTGAGATGTCCTAATTTCTCAGGCTCTGTTTCTGTATCCACAAAAAATCTCCGAACTCCCAACCTCGCCAGTCCAAAGTCTCAACACCAATAAGCGCCTAAATATCGGTGGCTGAGAGCACGTGGGAGAGGTATCACGGGTGTATATGGATTTAGATGGGATTTAATGGGATTCATTAATGTGGGGTATTGTGGGGTAAAACAATGCCATAAACCACCCATGACTGGGAATGGTAAACATAAATTTATACCACCTATAAAAATGGTGATGACTGGGGGATGGTTTATGATTGTTTTACCCACATTACTTATTTGTGGTATCTCCTTTGCCTAAGTGGACAACTCGCTGCCGGATTGAATGGTGTATCCAAGTCGACATGCAATATTTTGCAAAAAAAAATGAGCTGGACCGAACATTATATACACTTTGTTTTGAATACAAACTGACCCAGTCAGTAATTTACGCAGTCAAGGTTTACGTGGTGGTTCAACCCAACTAGTAAGTAGGTCCAGGTAGGTCCAACCCCCAAGAACTAAGAAGGAGGAACTGCCAAAGGTGCCGCATAGCTAGCTAAGTTGGTTCATTTAACTAATTTTATGAGCTAACTATCTGCACAAATTTCTTTATTTCTTAGCTCGTCTCCCTCGTCGGTTGAATCTCACCATGGAATTAGCAGCTCGGCTCGTTAGGTAGGGTTTTGAAATTAGTAGCTCGGCTCGTTAATTCTGCTTTAGGAATTAGCTCCCTCGTCACAGCAAGCCTGGCGGCCAGCCTCTCTTTTTTCTTCTTTTGGGCTACTTGCGCTTCTTTGGAGGGGACATTTCCTCCAAAATGTCGCTAAACTCCCGCGAGGAAGCCTCTCTGATGCCCACCTCACCTTCAGTGAGTCCTCTTCGAGGAGCATCAACTCGCAACTTGCGCTTACTTTTGTCAGTTTTCCGCGCCTTTCCAAAGTCAGACCTCTGAGAACGGCGCCTTTGCTTGATTTTGCCACCTTTCCTGACGAAGGTCGCCTGCGACATCCTTCTTTCCTGATATCAGGGAAAGAAGGCCCTGTGGGAACAACTGGGCACAGAAAGAAATAGATGCTTTGGAGGGGAGAAGATGGTTTCAAACCCGGTCCTTCTGCAGCAACTTTGAATCGAAAAGCTTTCTTGTGTTCCAAGCAATCTGAAAAAAAGTAGTTCCAAAATCTAAGTGTTGAACAAGAAAAAACCAAAAACGGTACTACTTCAAACTCAGAGCAAGGCAACTTTGAACCGAAAAGCTTTTTTGTGTTCCAAGCAATCTGAAAAAGAAGTAGTTCCAAAATCTAAGCCCTGAACATGAAAAAGCCCGAAACAGTACTACTTCCAAGTAAAAGCAAAGCAACTTGGAGTCGAAAAAGCTTTTTTGTGTTCCAAGCAATTTGACAAAAAGTAGTTCCAAAATCTAAGTTTTGAACAAGAAAAGCCCAAAACGGTACTACTTCCAACTCAGAGCAAAGCAACTTTGAATCGAAAAGCTTTTTTGTGTTCCAAGCAATCTGAAAAAAAGTAGTTCCAAAATCTAAGTTTTGAACATGAAAAAGCCCGAAACGGTACTACTTCTAACTCAGAGCAAAGCAACTTTGAATCGAAAAGCTTTTTTGTGTTCCAAGCAATCTGAAAAAAAAGTAGTTCCAAAATCTAAGTTTTGAACATGAAAAAGCCCGAAACGGTACTACTTCTAACTCAGAGCAAAGCAACTTTGAATCGAACAGCTTTTTTGTGTTCCAAGCAATCTGAAAAAGGAGTTCCAAAATCTAAGTTTTGGACAAGAAAAAGCCCCAAACGGTGCTACTTCCAACTCAGAAAAAAACCACTTGTCCTTAAATCCAAGAATGCTACCTCGTTGCTGGGCTCGTTACATCTACAAACCCTACCTCGTTCCTCGGCTGGGCCCGCTCTAATTTGAACAGAACTATCTGGTAGATAGGGTTTATGAACCAACAACTATAGTAATAATGGTAAATGACTGTTGTTATCTTTGCCAAGGGTACTATATGTAGATGTATGTGTACATGTGTATGTATGTATGTATATATATATATATGTGTAAAATTTAATATGTTTTGGAACCGGGTTTCCCCAGATGTTTTCCCATATCTTGGTTACTTAACCCATCACAGTGCGGGAATCCTTACAACGATCCCCAAACTACTGAGTATATATCCCATCATATCACCATGATATTGCCATTCATTCCTATGAAATTTCACCATACAGTGAACATCATGTTATTGATGTTCCCAGAGCATGCTATATTGATCAATAGAAAATGGGATTCCTATGAAATATCCCATGAGCTGGCCAGTTCCACCAGTGACTGAGGACGGCAGCATGTGTCCTCTTCCAGGTCTAAGGACATTGCATGCCAACGTGGGTGGCACGTCACCGTAGAACAGAACAACCCCGTTTTTGGTAAGGAACAGGTGCTGACTCTTAATGAATTCTGGAGTCAGCACGAAGTACACCGCCTGTTTGTAATGATGTGGTGGTGTAATGCCTTCTGCCATCCTTATGTAGCCCTGGCCGTTGTCATTGTGGTACATGAAGTGTAATGAGTCTCTGCCAACTCGTCCACTTCCGTTAGCATTGGTAACCCGGCCGCGCTGCTGAATCGAGGTTGTGTTTGCTGCATCAGTCACATGAAAGATCCATCCCAAGCACATAGCTTCATCAAACGTCAGTGGGTGATGTGTAGAGTAAGGCCCTAAAGGATTAAAGTACCCATCCAAGATTGACCTAGTATCTTCCCATGAAATATCCAATTTCCTCATGCTTTTTTCCATGCCATCGACCCCACTGGGCCGTTGCCCCTGCCGGCTCCATCTGGGTTCCGGCCGTGTGCTTCGTATGAAGATGGCCATCAGCAATGCACCGCCCTGACGGGATGAGCGAATGAGAACATGGGAATGATGGGAATCGATTTACATAGATTTTTCAATATAGGGCTGAGTAACAGGAATGATAGGAATCGGGATGATCATATAATTCTTAAGTTATATATTTTAATATTTTTAGTGGATTTACTTTACTGTACGTATAGAATGAATGGTGTATGGTTTTGACCAATTCCCATATAAATCCGCCCGCACCGAAGGTGCCGAGGCGTGGTAGTTTAGCAGTGGATGCGACCGGACAGATCTATCAGACTGGTACAGCTTCAGCGGGGGGGGGGCGCCATGTTTGCCCGGGCCCCCGCCTGGTACTTTGCACATTTTGCAGATCGGCTCGAAATTGTCCAAATGGACCGTTTCGATCCAACATGGCCGCAACATTGGCCCGACTTGGGGTCAACTTTGGCCAGCAAGGCCCCAACTTCGGCCCAACTCGGACCAATTGGCTCCAACTTCGGCCCAACTTGGCTCCAAGATGGCACAACTTGGCTGCAACTTGGACCCATTTGAGAGCAACTTCGGCCCAAGTTGAGGTCCATATGGCTTCGAAATGGGGGACATAGCCGGCCCGATCCGAAATCCTCAAACCGCCCCGTTTTCACTTTTATTTTCTGAGTCTTTTTGCTATCGATGACGCTTCGTTTGAAGCAATGTTCCCCATGTTGTGTCTCCGTTGGCCCCAAGTTGGCGTGAAGCTGTCGCCAAAGGTGCCCAAGTTGTGGCGTGTTAGAATTGACCTGGACTTCCATGTGCATCACATGGCTTCAAATTGGAATCCATCTGTGTTGCTTCGGGCCCAACTTCAAGCCCAGGGCCAAGTTGGGCTCAACCCAATCCAATTTTGCGGACTCAATGCGACACGCTCAAATTTTTGTTGCTATTTCCAACTTTGATGGGGTTCGTGCGGGGCCATGTTGCCCACATTGGGCTTGTCGTGGGCCTAACTTGCTAAGCCCGGCTTGCGTCCAAACCCGCCCAAGTTGCGCCATGTTGGACCCCAGTTAGGCTTAAGTTGGGCCCAAGTGGGAGCCAATTGGCCCGAGTTCGGCGCAAGTTACGCCCAAGTGGGGCCCAAGTGGGCTCCTGTTCGGCCCAACTTAAGGCCAAGGACGGCCAAGTTTGATCCCAGTCGGATTTTTGTTGGGCCAAGTAGGCCCGCTTCTTTCCTCTCCGTCCTATTCCCTGGGTGCGGGCGGTTCTCATCACGAAGCGACTCGACTATCATACTGTGGATGGAAGAAATCCTGCACCAGTTTATAGGTGGTTTGTAAGCGTTCTCTCAATAGTTTCTGATCCCAAAACCTGATTGAAGGTTCATTATCCTAATATTATCCCAAAACCTAATTTAAGTTCATTTTGTTTCTGATAGTTTCTGATAAATCCTATTATGATCATTATTGCAAACGTGTTCCCAATGATTTCAGTAGTATAATTAATTTGGTGAGCAAGTCTGTTCTTGGCGGTTATGACTCCACTGAAAAGTACAAAGTGGTACCCCAAGTTATGTTTGTTGGTTTATAACCTCCGCGAAGTGTAGATATATCTACCATAACCGAAACCCTACAGTCTCTAAGTGTATCAGGTGTCAGCCAACTTATCCTAACCATAGGTCACCACCTTGTGGTACTTGCGCTGATCATCGTCCCCTGAGATTTCCCGCGACGTGAGGTCGCAACATAAGATATCCAGATTGCTGTGCCATACCCTCTGGTAAACAAACAGTTTGCTATTGAAAATGGCCCAGTCGGAATCGTGGATTTACCCATTGAGAGCATGTTGGATCTTTCCATCGTTTTTTGTTAACGTTTTCTACCAGACGGTAATTCCAAAGTGTCTAAAGTGTTTCTACCCGTTGTCATTTGCACCATTCCCAAGTCACCAGCAATTGGGTGAGATTTCTAAACCATCCCCAGTGGTAGGCGTATGGCGTATGGCAGCCCGTATGCTGGATGGTCAATCTTTGGTAGTCTCATCTTTTGCTGTTTATGGTTGGTTTATGTTAGTTTCCATTTATAGCAACAAACTAAAGTTAACTAAAGGATTAGTTTCTACCCATCCAAGGATGGAGATGATATTATGTATCCCAAACTATCCAGTTGGGGAAACTAACTAGTTGGATAATAGCAACACACTATCCAGGATGAGTTTCTACATGTTTCTACCTATCCAGTCGGTGACAAGATTTCTACGACCCTCAGAAAAAGTCCTGCGGAGCCATCCGACTGTCCGACTGCCCGCGCCTTGGACCGGACTGAACTGCCCGAGGGAAAGTGACTGTCCTGGGCGCTTAAGCGGTGAATTGACAGAAATGGCTTAGTTGTGCCGCAAACTGCTTAGCAAACAGCGAAATGGAATTACACCAGAAAATGGGCTACGCCCCATCCAAATGGGAATTTTAGTAGGGAACAGGATGAGTAGCCACTGGATTTACGGATATTTACGGGTATACCACATGTTCAGATCAACAATGTTGGATCAAACCAATTGTGGTGTTCTCGGTTTGCCCTGTCCATATTATTAGATTTGGATCAAACCTCTGACAATAAAAACCCATGTTTTTCAAAAAGGTTGTTGTTAAACACTCCCAAGCAATAATCGTAAAGAAACATGGATGGGTAAACACATATCTGGTTGGTGGTTTCAACCCCTCTGAAAAATATTAGTCAATGGGAAGGATTATGCCATATATTATGGAAAAAAAACATGTTCCAAACCACCAGCCAGAACACATATGTTTGGCCAATGAAGCCCCAAAAAACAGTTTTTTGCTTGTTATCATGGTGGACCAACCACTGGTTGATGGTTTCAATCACCTGCATTGATTCAAACCCTGGGTTTGATAAGCCAGAAAAGGGAACCAAAAAAATGAAACTAATATATATATATATATATACATATATATATATATATATTCCATTCCCTACTAATATTCCCCGAAAAAAAACAAACAAAAAAAACAAACACCTTCAACACACGCAGGTAAACACGTCAATTGGAAAAAATAGGAAAATCATCACATATTAGCCATAGGAAACCTGGAACCTGAAAGAACCCCATCTGGAAAAAATGGAAAACCTGAAGCCGGACCAAGCCCGAGCGCCCCTGAGCTGTTCCCGCCGGCGCCAGCAAACTCGCGTCATCGAACTCGCAGGAGGCTCCTGCAAAGGATCATCCCATGTATCGGAAGTGGTTAATATTTCATTTGTGTGGATATATATATGTATATATATACATATTATATATATTATATATATATACACATATTATATATACATGTTACATATATATACATATTATATATACATGTTATATATATATATACACATATTATATATATACATATTATATATATACATATTATATATATATACATATTATATATACATGTTATATATATATACACATATTAAATATATATATACACATATTATATATATACATATTATATATATACATATTATATATATATGTTATATATATATACATATTAAATATATATATACATATTAAATAAATACATATTATATATACATGTTATATATATACACATATTATATATATATACTTATAATATATATATATATATATACATATTATATATCAATGTTATATATATATACACATATTATATATATACACATTATATATATACATATTATATATACATGTTATATATATACACATATTATATATATATATACATATTATATGTATATACATATTATAAATATCTATTTATTTATTTATATGTATATATATATGTAATAGGAAAAATCTTTAGGACTAATTATATACAATAATGTATATTCATGAATATTATATATATGGCTGTTAAAATGTGGTTCATCACCTTGATTAGTAAGTCCCCGTTTGTGTTCTGTATCCCATTTACACATGGATTGTAACTATGCTGGCCGTTAAACACTTACTAAGTGGGACCCTCCAAGTCATCCCTTCCAACACCAAATACCACCCCTTTTTTGGTGCCCCCAAAATGAACGGATCCGATAGAAAATCAGAGGATTTCTGCAGAAAAACATCATCTTATGGGGAATCAATGGATTCTGATTGGTGGTTGCGCCCTACCCCATCCTGAAAAATGATGGAGTGAAAGTCAGCTGGGATCATGACATTCCCAATATGATGGGAAATTCATAAAACTGATGTTCCAAACCACCAACCAGGGATTGGTTTGTTGGGGGGGAAAATCACCGAAAAAACGCATATTTCATGGGAAAAATCGATGGTTTCCGGTGAAGATTTTCCCCAACAAACCAATCCATGGAGGGTTTGGGGATTGTGCCTTCACTGTTGAACAATATGGAAGGTTGAATGGCATATTGCACCAACATATACTGGGAACAAGGTAATTCACATGGAAATATTGGACAGTTCGCCAACAGAGATAGAATGGTGATAGCAATTTTAGAGTTGAACATGTCGCCCCGTTGAGTTCAACTTTGATTTTACGTCTTTGTCTTTTAGTCAATAAATATTAGTAATATTGATATAATTAAAAAAATATTAACTATATATAATAATATGTATAATATGTAGCAATGAAACTGATGGGATATCTTTCGGTGACATGGTGGCTATATCACGAACACCATGATGCCAGCTTGTCTCAAATTTTGACACAAGAACCAAATATCTGATGAATTTAGAATTACCCTCTATCCTCTGGTAAAGTAACATAGACCCTGGCAGATAGGGGTTGGAAGATTAGTTTCCATTAAAACTAGGCTATTTTCAGGGTCTATGTTAATTTACCATAGGGTAATTTCCTCTGTTCAAGTGTATTTTTTGAGGGTGTATCTCCCTCATGTTCAGTTTTCAGCAGGCAAATGAATCAACAATACTTGTGGGGCTATCAATACGCATGAAATACATAATCTTAGCAGATCGTAGCACAACAATGATCACGGGGATAGCATCAAGTCTATGTTGAAGTCACTTGAGAGAGTGAGAAGACCAGCAAGCATCAAAAAATGCGGATGTCGGTAATGTTTGGTAGTGAAAAAAACAAATGGTACAAATTTGTGGATTGCAGCGATGTGGGGCCACAGGGAATCCTCACTACATGCATTTCAGTGAAGCCAGGTCAAACTGGTGGAAAGAGGCTGAAAAACTTCCAATCAATCCAGTTTTGCAACCCTTGCCTGCTGAGTAATTAATTACCAAACCTACAAACTCCAGAGGAATTGTTCATTCCTACAGATGATTTTCTGCAAGGGGCACTGCGCCTTGACCATTTCATACCACTTCCCTTGGATGCGTCCGAAAAATTCGACCCGTCCGCTCCTTCTTCCGGGATGGTATGCAATCTCTGCAAAAAGACCTGACATCAGTTGATGACAGAGTTACCTCGTGGACACACTACATGTAGAGTTTCTGTGGGCTGATGATGGATTGAGAACTGGAGGAACTACAACGGTTGAGCTACCAGAGCCTGCCCTTTGGGACTCAATTTCCTATACGGGGTCTACTACTGACTGTTGAACCCCCATATTCAATGGCCGTTTCAGGAACCGATTGATTGGAGATACCTACCATATATAAGGCCTATTTTTCAAGTCTAAATTTCAGGGAATATCCCCACAAAATGGCCAGAAATATTGTACAGTAATGTACAGTACCTACATTTTAGGATCCTGAAATTCCCATTGAAATATGAACATGGGATAAAAAAAAAGTGTTTGATCATATAGCTATGTAAAATGGCCCATTTATAGATGGTTTACATATTAAAAAACATCTGAAAAACAAACGGATTCGCCGGCCTGGTATGATTTGGTTTACCCGATCAACCCGGTGAACCGGGGTCGTTCCGGCTTTTCCAGCCTTGACGCGTGCCCTGGTAACAATTGAAGACAGCAAATCAATGTCTGCCACAACAGAGTATCATAGGTTTTCATTCATCCCCATATTTTCCTAATGGTTTTGTTAAGAAAAATCGAGTACCCTAAAATCACGTGATTTTTAAAACGTGAGAGAGTGGCTGTAGATAGAAACCAAACAGCTCATGTATGGGAAACTCATATCATATCATATGGTTGGTTGGTTGGTTGGTTGGTTGGTTATGGTTGGTTATGGTTGGTTATGGTTGGTTGGTTATGGTTGGTTGGTTATGGTTGGTTGGTTATGGTTGGTTGGTTATGGTTGGTTGGTTATGGTTGGTTGGTTGTGGTTGGTTGGTTATGGTTGGTTGGTTATGGTTGGTTGGTTATGGTTGGTTGGTTATGGTTGGTTGGTTATGGTTGGTTGGTTATGGTTGGTTGGTTATGGTTGGTTATGGTTGGTTATGGTTGGTTATGGTTGGTTATGGTTGGTTATGGTTGGTTATGTCCTGACTAATCAGTATCCATGAAATATCCCATAAAGATGGTTGGTACAAGCCGTACAAAGATGCCCATGAAAACCCACATTCATAGATGTGTTGTCCCTATTCTTTCCATCAAACATGGGAATAAACACACTATAGTTACCAATTCATGAAGAAATCTCATTGATTTTCTACATCAACGATATGAAGCCCCAAATCTATGGCCACTCTTGATAATTATGCTATAAATCCTCTCATCAGATCTCAGAACTCATCCCATGTGCTGGAACAAATCATCTCAATACCCTCTGGTAAACGTTTACATAGCTATTGAACATGGCCCAGTCGAAATAGTAGATTTACCCATTAATAGCATGGTGATTTTCCATAGGTACGTTAGTTTACCAGAGGGTATATCCGAGAACTCATCCAATTTCCGGTGTGACCCCAACATGGCAAGCTGGGAAATCCAGGTTTTCAGGGGAAAATCAACGAAAAAAAAAAAGATGGATTTTCCATGGTCGTGTTTGATTACGGGAGGGTACTTGGTGGCTCATCCCACGGCTCGTAAGTGGGTTATAACCCCAATTATAAGTGGATTAACCCTACTTATCCCATTTATAACTGGGGTTATAACCCACTTACTAAGTGGGATGAGCCAACAAGTATAATCATTATAATCCCATGATATGTGCCATGGTCAAAGGATGGTTTTTATGAGATACAATCATCACACCATTATTGTGCGTCCTTACAATTGACATATAATCAATGGCCATTTCAGGAGCCTAAATTGGAGATACCTACCATATATAAGGCCTACTTTTCAGGCCTAAATTTCAAAGAATATACCCACAAAATATGGCCTTATATGGTACAGTACCTACATTTTAGGATCCTGAAATTCCCATTAATATAACTCCCTAGTGGTTCGATGACCATCCCCCCAGATGGGCAAATTATACCCAAACCTTGACCATGACACATGTGGCAGCCATGGAGTTACTGAACGGTTTGGTACCTAGGTTATAGCCAATTGTATATCCAGCTATAGGCATAGGGGGGGTTACTAACCAATTGTATAATTGGGTATAAAATCCAACATTTGATTGTAGTTGGTAAGTGTTATATCCGACTATATATTCCCATTCACATTCAATTCCTATGATTAATCCCAAAACGCAAAACACCAAATTGATCCAGTCATGGTACTACATGGCAATATCACCTCATCATGGCAATATCACCTCATTTTCCCATTGTTTAACATTATCCAAATTGTAAAACATTGTCTGGTTGGTGGTATACCTACCCCCTCTGAAAAATATGAGTTCGTCAGTTGGGATTATTATTCCCAAATATATGGAAAGTCATAAAATTCCATGGTTCCGAACCACCGACCAGTTGTAATAACCCACTGACTTTCGTTATCCAATATCCCATTCCCGATGGCAACATCCCCAACAAACGAATCCACATACTGTGGACGGAAGAAATCCCGAACTAGTTGCTAGAGTATTTACCCTCTGGTAATTTAACATAACTATGGAAAATCACCATTTTATTGTGAATTTTCCAATGAAAAATGGTGATTTTCCATAGTTACGTTAGTTTACCAGAGGGTATATAGATTTTATCCTATTATCATTCCACTATTTACATTGATCCTATTAGCATCCCGTTATTTACAGTGTTTCATACAGTTGCCAATAGTTTTTCCAACTGGCGCAGGCTTTCATAACTATCCGTCCATGAAAAAAAGGGTGGTCCCAACACACGACCGCCTCGGAAGGAGCTTCTTGAATCAACGCACTCTCGGAAGGACCGCCGTCACCTAGACCTCCACCAACGCGGCACTTGGGGGTGCAGGACTGGTGTTACAACTGATCAAAGAAATTATACCAGGTAGATCTTGGTAGATATATCTATTATATATTATCTATGTTAATATGTTTTGAACGGGTGAGAGCTGAACCAACTTATACTTGGGCAGTTGGGGTTAGTTTTGTGGGGATATATGGACTTATAACTGGAACTGCGCCCCAAGGTATCCCATCTTCAGACACAACCAGGCAACTTAGATTTAATCAACGAGATACAAGGCACATTGAATTGAGCAACTGCCATGATATACAGTCCTTTCTGGGGACTAACCATGAAAAGAATGATAGTTCAGCCATCAAACATGTAGATTTAACCATAGCCATAGTGGCGGTGCCCACTGTTTTGGCTAAGTTAGCTTATGCCACTTTATCTAACATCATGTGGTTTTTCGAACACCATTTAACAAGCAAAAAAAACATTTTACTAATGAATAATGGATATGTTTTGTGTATCTTTAAAAAGTCACGTAAGCCCCAGCAGTGGTATTTTAAATCTGGTTGGTGGTATACCTATCCCTTTGAAAAAACAGTCAGTTGGGATGATTTTCCATTCCCAATCTATGGAAATCATAGAATTCCATGGTTCCAAAGCACCAGCCAGAAATGGATTGATAAACCAATGGATTTGGGGATAACACATTATCCCGGATCCCCGGGTCTCCCACCATGGTTGTTGTTTCAATGAAATGATCACTGGGATTTGAAAAAGGTGGTACATCCACTGGCACAAGCAGACGCCAAGGACTTTCTGGTAGCAATCGCATGGGAAACTGTGGGAGGTAACCGGATGTCAGCAAGCGCACAGATCTCAGGCACGCAGCCACCTCTGCAGCATGCTCATCTGCGCCCACAGCCGCGCAGCGGGCCGCAGAGAGCCAAAGCATCTCTCTGACATCGTTGACTTGCCTTTGCTGATTTTCACCTAACGAACGAGCCAGTCTCTCTTTTAAATGATCCAACATAGCGGCTTCCACCCAAAAGTCCAAAACCAAAGGAGCCGGAGCAGCTATGCGATGTCGCATGCTTTCTCGTGTGCCTTCCAACTGATCCAAAACCATGTGGAGCCAGTGGGCCTCTCTCTCTAAGGCCTGCTCATTTTGCAGATGGGTCAGAAGTTCGTTGCCATCCAGCAACGCAGCGTCAAATTGACACATGTGAAAGCCACCAACGTGCTGTTCATATCTGTACCAATAGCCATGGTCCAAAGGAATCAAGCGACATGGGAGCATGGCGACGCAAAGCTCATCTTGGTCCCAGGTATAAAAGGTATTGAAACAACATGATTTACTGGTTGGTGGTATACATACCCTTCTCAAAAATATGAGTTCGTCAGTTGGGATTATTCTTCTCAATATATGGAAAGTCATAAAATTCAAAAAAATACATGTTCCAAAGCACCAACCAGTTTAATTGGTGTTTATATCTTTATGTCATAGTTGTTTTACAATGGTCAACTTGTCAACCATAACTTGAATAACGCACAGCTCCCCCCGCGACCATCCGAGGATGATCCCCTCTTGACCGCGAACGCGCAAAGGAGCTCTTTGAAAATGGCTCTTGTAGCAACATTGGGAAAATATGGGAAAACTTGGATTTGCTGAGTCGGGGTCCCCATAAAATTCCAAACATAATCACTATAGATTCCCCAGTCATGGTGGATTTTCCATTGGGAAAATTAACAAATCTTAAACAAACCCAGAAAAATGATCATGAATCACTAGGTTTGGGAGTTCCAGAATTTTTCCTGCTGTGTTTTGACTGCACCTTAAAGATTCCATGACTGGAAGCTGATATGTCCAGCTTGGTGATAGTTCTAAAAAGGGTTAACCCATGTTAACCCTCAACCATGGTTTCCCTACTAAATAAATCGAGCTGGTGGACTATTCAAGTCCCATTTGAAGAAACGTTCATGTGGAGCATCCTCAATGTCACAAATTCAAGTGTTACTCTGGTTGGTGGTTTTAACAATCTTGAAAAATATTAGTCAATGGGAAGGATTATCCCATATATTACGGAAAATAACCAATGTTTGAAACCATCAACCAGTACTGAATTGGAAATTCCCGCATTTTTGGCTTCAAATCTCACTATAGGTGGTGCCCCATAGTTCGCGAGAGGTTTACTTCTGGAAGGTCAACCTTGGGCACCGAGGTTTTCCTTAAGATCCCCCGTAAAATCATAGTCCCACACACCCTGAAATCTTAACCAATCCAACTCCCCAACGTAAACCGCATTCAAGCCCATTTAAAGCCATCTAATCTATCCAAATCCCATAAAATCGATCCAAATCCCATTGAATCCCTATAAAATCCCATTAAATCCCTATAAAATCCCATTAAATCCCTAAAAAACACCAATAAATCCCTATAAAATCCCATTAAATCCCTATAAAATCCAATTAAATCCCTATAAAATCCAATTAAATCCCTATA